GGGACAGTGATACTTCCAGAAGTTCTTTTATTGTTCAGAATTGTTCTAGTTTTCCTGGGTCTTTTCTCTTATAACTTTGAGGATTGTCCTACAAATGTCTAAAAAGAATTGTGTTGTAATTTTGATTGTAATTTCATTGAAGATGTACATTGATTTTTTTATGCAAGATAGTCATTTTTATTATTTTAATCCTACCAAAAACATTGAAGATTTTTCCATTATCTGATATCTTCTTCAATTTCTTTCTTTAGAGACTTTATTTTATTAGGTCCTTCTCTTGCTTTGCTATAGTTAATCCAGGATATTTTATATAATTCAATACCATTGTAAAAGGTGTTGGTTCTCTGATTTTTTTCTCAGTTAATTTGTCATTCGTATGTTGGGGCTAATGATTTTTTGGAGTTAATCTTGTAGTCTACGGCCATACCAACCTGAATGCACCTGATATTGTCTGAGTTAACCTTGTATTCAGCCACTTTGTTGAAATCATTTATTAGCTATAAGATTTCCTTAATGGAATTTTTGGGGTCACGTATGCACACTATCATATAATCTATAAATAATGATAATTTGACATCTTTCATTTAATTTGCCTGCACTTGATCTCCTTCAGTTGTTCTTTGCTTTAAATCTTCAAGTACCAAATTGAATTGGTATGGCAAACAGAGCCTTACCTTCTTCTTGGCTTTAGTGAAAATGCTTTGAGTTTCTCTACATTTAATTTGTTGCTAGCCATAGGTTTTCTGTAAATTGCCTTTATTATATTTAGGTATGCTTCCTTTGTTCCTTATCTCTCCAGGACAGGACTTTTAGCATGAAGCAGTGTTGGATTTTGTCAACATTTTTTGACATATAATAAGATGACCATGTGGTGTTTTTTTTCCTAATTATTTTTTATGATGGATTACATTGATAGATTTTTGTGCATCAAACTATATCTGGATCTCTTGACATAAAACATACTTGATCCCAGTGGATGACCTTTTTAATCTGCTTATGGATTCAGTTTGCTAGTATTTTCTTGAGTATTTTTGCATATGCATTCATTAAATTGCTCTATAATTCCCCTTCTTCAAAGAATCTGTATTGCTTGGGCATCAGAATGACTGTGGCTTCATAAAATAGATTTGGAAATGGTTCTTCTGTATCTCCTTTGTGAAATAATTTTAGGAGTATTAGTATTAACTCTCCTTTGAAAGTCTGGTAACATTCTTCACTAAATACGTCCTGCCTTGGACACTTTTTGTTTAGGAGGCATTTAGTGAATACATCCATCTCCTTAGAGGTTAGAGGTTTAATACAATTATTTATCTGATTCTTACTTAACTTTGATAAGTTTTATCTATTGAGAAAATTATTAATTTCTTTTAAATTTTCCAGTTTANTGCATTCATTAAATTGCTCTATAATTCCCCTTCTTCAAAGAATCTGTATTGCTTGGGCATCAGAATGACTGTGGCTTCATAAAATAGATTTGGAAATGGTTCTTCTGTATCTCCTTTGTGAAATAATTTTAGGAGTATTAGTATTAACTCTCCTTTGAAAGTCTGGTAACATTCTTCACTAAATACGTCCTGCCTTGGACACTTTTTGTTTAGGAGGCATTTAGTGAATACATCCATCTCCTTAGAGGTTAGAGGTTTAATACAATTATTTATCTGATTCTTACTTAACTTTGATAAGTTTTATCTATTGAGAAAATTATTAATTTCTTTTAAATTTTCCAGTTTACTGGAGTACAGTTTTTTAAAGCTTATCCATATGGTTCTCTGGAGTTTTTGGTACCTGTTGTTATGTCTTTCTTTTAATTTCTGATTTGGTTAATTTTGATATTCTCTCTTCCCTCCTTTCTCTGTCTCTCTCTTCTTCTTTCTCTCTCTCTCTCTCCCCCCCTCAACTCCCTTCTCCCATTTTGCCTTTCCCTCCGTAGCTCCCTGAATAAATATTTACTTCACTCTACATGTCATGTCTATCCATGTTTCTGTATCCTGCCTGCCCGCCATGTGTCTTCCTGCCTGGGCCAGCCACTGCTAGGGGACAGTCAGGCATCTCTGCCGGGTACTGGCTGTGCCCAGAGCCTGCTGCCTGCCGCCACATTGCCAGCTACCACCATTTGGGGACCTACAACATTTCTGCTGCCTACTGCCACACGGGATTTTGTCACATTTAAAAAAAATCATAACACTGCTGTTCCACTCCTGTTTTCAGTCCAAAGAGTATTTCTAGCTGGGCAGTGGTACCACA